GGCTAATCATTAGTGAAGTCACTGTCTCTCTCAATTTAAATCATGTGAAATCATCTGAAATCACCTGAAGTCGCCTGAGATTCTTTGAAATCATGAAATCGGAGGGAATGCTTTTAAATAACTTGAAATCATGTGAAATTATGGTGTGATGATGCTTGACGACCAATACACTCCCCTATAATATGAATAAATCTGCATTGGACGGATGTCCAAAGAACCATTACTAATGAACTATCGGAGGAAATTTCTACTACTCAATGATCCGTGACGCCTAATTGAATTTTAATTTACTCGGGACTTTTGGCTTTCCAGCCGGTTCTCAGTTATAATTTAACAACATTAACTATGCAAATAGATGGGCGGAGTCAACGTACGATAGGTTACTGAATAAACAGAATCTAGAGGAGATAACTCGTCAAGTGCCGGGAAGACATTAGATTTTCGAGAAACTCAGAGATTGCTCTCTTTGTATTTGCGTTATAACTTTGGCGCTGAAATTTCCGGTGCGCTGTTAAAAATTTCTTGAACTATCAGCCACAAAGTTATATGGGTATCCAAATGTATGAGCTTGAATTCAATTTATAAAAATTTCCAAAAATTCCCAATTTCTAGTGAAATCAACGGAAACTCAAAAAACAATAACAATAAATTTCCAGTGGATTTCCAACTAATTACATCTAACCGAACCCACACAAAAATATAAAATCTGAACTAAAAATCTTCCACAAAGATTTAAAAAATCGTTAAAAACTTTAAATCTCTCGATCTCCCCCTCAAATCGTAATTTCCCTGGATTTCCAATGACTCCAAAAATAAAAATTTAATCATTCTGAACTGATGAGTCCGATGATCCCTCAAAAATCTGTCTAATGAGTCGGATTTTGACAAAAGTTTAAGTCGTAACCCCGAATTTACAACACCAAAAAATAACCGACCGGAAAAACCGGTATGAATAGGGGGAAGGGAGTGTTGGAGTCAAACAACTCGAAAACGTGGGTTCGAGTCGTAAAATATCGTAGTAACATATGAGGTAGTCCCCTTTGTTTGACCCTTTTTATATTTCTTCCTTTCTCTTCCCCCCACCTCATTGAAGCGTAGCACCTACAACTCGTTTTCCCCTCGTACGTTGTCAGATTCACCCACGTCGACGTAGTAAAACCGTCGATAGTGGTCACCTTATAGGGCCCTGTTGCCGTCTTTTTTTTTTTTGTCGACTGTAGAATCATCTACCTGCGCTTCACCTTTTCGTAACAATACACTGTAGCAAATCGGAGAATAAAAATCGAGGCTCAAGGCCCAGATATTCCAACCAGAAAGCCGGGAACAGAGGTTTGAGGCCCGACCACGGGGTCCCAGTGGCACTGCCATCGACTACCAACTCTTGGGCCGTACCCCATCGCATTGTTGCACTGACGCTCGCATCATCACGTATTGATATGAAGCTAGATGTTTAAATCAATTGTTAATTGCACTATTTGCTGGAGTTTTTACGAATCAAGTTGTTTGTGGCTATCGATTGTGACGATGTTTATCAGTATCGTTCTCATATCGTTCTTGGATCGAGTGACAATATAACGATTCGAGGGAATACTGTGGTCTTCAGCAAGTGGCGGGTCTTTTTTTCTGCGAGAATTGAGGGATGAAAATGAAGCAGGACGAGACACATCAAAGCCGAAGGGCTCTCTTTCAAATTGCCAAGGTCTGTAAAATAATTTATTTATACTTGGAGGTCAATTTTTTATGATAATTCTAGTGAAGGCAAATTGTGCAATTATAAAACATTAGATAGTTATTTTATAAATGGTGGGAACTACTCATCGATGTTGCGTGGAGAACATTTTTTTCTATTCGTTTTGGAACAATTTTATTGGAAAAATAATAGCCACAGGGGTCTTAGGCGACTCTTATTTTATAATAAATGGGTTCCGTAAATGGAGCATCTCCTTTGAGTGTCCCGTAAATGGTAAGCCTACTCTGCAACAATAGAAAAGAGCCGCAATGTTACAGCGAAAATTCTAGTGATGGCACGTTAATGTTTGCCCTATTTCTGGGAACATTGGCCATAAATGTGCGAATAATTTAAGGAGGGCCAAGAAAAGAGATGCTAAGTGACGAAAGGAGAAAAATTATAAAGCCGGTACTGGAATTTTTATTTATATTTAAAAGGGAGAATTTTTTCAATTTAGCACTTACCATAAATATTTATATATTTATATTAGTATATTCTTGACTAGAATAAACATAAACACGTGGATAGCATAGAAAATAGGGAAAATATAATAATGGGTGTGAATGTTAAATGATAAATATGAATTCTGGGGAATATCAATATATTTTTTCGATTAAATACAATAAGTCGGAGTCGTGTGTTCAGGGAGTGCTGAAGAATGGTTGAACGGACATTGTAAATGACATCCGACATGAGGACAACTGGTAACAATTGCAAGTGTAAGGGACATGAGACTCCGATGAATATGAATTGTAGAAAAAATTCTGTCATTTTTTCTCATCATATATTTGCATATTGGAGTAAAAAACAACGAGTTCTCTTTTCATACTCATACAAACACAACAACTCGACCGTTTCGAGGAATATCTCCGAATCTAAAGGAGATGGAAATATTCTCCTTACGACCTTTTTTGTAAGGCACATTGAGAGCTACGAAAAATGTCTCAACAACAATTTTGCTATCTCTCTCCGATTCACCGATATTCCGCGAATATTTAGACATCAATTGAATAATTTTGTTAGCCATTAACCCTTCGCTGCAGAATTAATTTCCGAATTATGTAGATGGGAAAAAAATCTACCGTCGAATTACGATTTAATGGTAATTGCGAGTGAATTTATATTTATCGGGAATTTGTCGATATTGGGGGATTACGGTGTGGGAAGATGGGCAGGAAGTAATTTCATAATTTAAAACTCTATAGTACTTGTACGTCGATTAATCGATAAGATGAATGAAATAAAAATGACTGATCCCGTTGGTAGCTCCTGCCGAATTATTGATATAATTTCTCGTATATAACCGGCCACACCTGTTTCGCTCCCCTTATTCATAGAAAATAAAAAGTTGTTTCCACATAGTGGCGATGCACTATGCGTCACACTTCGTTCCACACCATTTGTACATCGCTGTGGATTCCCATGGGTTGGGTACAGTGCACACGATAAAAGTTGAGAATAAACATACACGTGTAAGCGTCATATTTTTCGCATTAGAATTCCAAAGTCATTCATGTAAGATTCAGGTATTTCTCGGTGGAACGCCAACATAAAACGAGACACTCATTCATTTTTTCCCCTTTCGAATGAGGAAAATTGGAGGGGAAATTGTGGTCGTTCCACAAGACCTCTCTGCTAATTTTTCGTTTTAATAGTCTGTAGAGCACATTTTTTACACTCGGTAATGAAAGCTCGCTCTATGAGGTTACACCTTGTAATTGTTGTAGTTTTAATCTTGATGGGAGTTGGAAATTCATTCACTGTTGTTCGTTATCGCGAGTAAATATGCAAGTGCAAAAATTAAATTTCGTGCCATGAGTACAATATTTATTTATGAAGAATTTTCGACTACGTAATTAAGAAAAGTATTTGTATTTCTCAAACCGCAGTTCTTCCTCTGCAATAATAAAACAACAACAACAACAACAACAACAACAACAACAA